GCCTTAATGGACCAATTTGGCCAATGGATGTTAAATATGCAGATACAGGTAAAATGGAAAGAGTCTAGAAGAGCAAGAAGAATGGTAAAAGATTTAAAAACTACTGTCTCCAAAGAACAGTCTGTGATTTTTAGCCTAAAGAAAAAAAAATAAAGTATATGAATAAGAACAGTCATTCAGTACATAAGTTTATTGCAGCAAAACAGCAACAAGTTGTTTTACAAGACGACAGAAGGAAGTACCATTAATTAGCCTAATATAGACCAGGAACATTTAAGTCAGATACTACCTACCTTTTGAACTAGAAAAACTATTAAAGCAACTGGAATAAACCAAGGATTATTATCCAGTTTCCATTGTTAGATTAAATATGTTCTGCCAAGTCTAGATACGTTCAGTCACTGTTTCACTTCCCAGTGCTCAGCAGCAATTATCCTTTATGCTATTCCCTGTAACATCACATTCCTTCTTCTTTGTGCTCCTTTAACATACCCTCAGTCCAACTTATGGCATGACCCAATGCTTGTGAGTCATGCCACAAATATAATTCAGAAGCTGACCATCTTAAAAAGAACACATCTGTTTTCTTAAGCTGTGGGACTTCTCTGGATTTTGGTGTGAGGCACAGACTCATTTTCAACCTTGAGGATTTTTCAGGATTTCAACAACCCTGCAACACTGATCAGCTAGAGGTAATGATGTGCAGCAGGAATAGTCAAAGCTGTACTACCAAACATGGTACTGTAGAATGTCTACCTTAGTAAATAGCTGGGACAACATTAGGATCTTCTTTTTTGAGGATTTCTTGGGGAAATCAGCTGCTTTTTTGGACCTTGTTTTGACAGCACCTTAAATCAAATGTGCTGTCAACTCTTATGCCCACACCCAATAACACCATACAAATAGAAGCATCTCTGTTGTACTTTTTATGACAATCTGTGTGAACAGTAAGAGTTACAAAGAAAAAATGCATACGTATTATTGTTCATAATATGCTTATTACTATGCAAACATTGTTCTTGAATAATTTCAGAAAATGAGGAGAAAAAATTATACTTCTTGAAAATGACCCTATTCAGGATTCTGGACTTTGTTTGTTGTACCTAACAAAATTCTTTAAAGGAAAAAATATGCTAGGACACAGCTATACAATTGTAAAAATATAATTTTTTGTGATTTTCTCTTCTACTATCCCTCATGCACTCATCTTGTTCAAAAGCAAGACAGCAGTAGCAGTAAGTGAAACTACCTGTAATGCTTGCCCCAGGCTGCAGAGAAACATCTACTGCCAACATTGGTGTATGTTCCTACATTTAGTACACTAACCCCAAGTATTGGGTGAAAACAACTGACAGGGCTATGATCCAAGTTAAGAATAACTCAGAAGTCCCCCAAAAACCAGTGTGGGGTGGAAGTGGAGATACAGAGTGTTATGCTGTCAGATGTTTTTTCGAGTTCAGTGATCTGCTTTATAAAACAGTCCAGCAAACAGTTGTATAAGCACAATTAAAGGAACAGAGACCTGTAGCAGGGAATCAGAAAGGAACCCAACACCTAACTTGTGTTTATTCAAATCACATTCTACTCAGCCTGTATCAGGCTGACCTTTAAAGCCCATAACATATCCACAGCCCACCAACAACTGCAGGAATTTCTCCTCCAATGTATTTGTGCTCAGGAGAGGCCCGAGGTGTATAGCTGACTAAAAAGGGGCTGCAGTGCATTCGCATAGCGTGGGAGAGTTACTCACGCATGAGCTTCTTATAGTAACCGACTCTCCCACATTGTGCACTGCCTGTGGTTAATACCTATATGGATATCAAAAAAATTTGATATGGAAGAAAATTGATTTGCCTTCTGAAAACGTTAACTTGGATATTCCCTTCTTAAAATATGAAGAATGAGATATTGCACTAAGTCTGATATTTAGTTTCATTCCTTAAAAAAAAAAAGGAAAAGCAAAGAGTTAAGAATGCGGAAAAATGTGACTTGATATGTAAATACAGCAGAAACACTGGTATGGCATTATGCAAAGTTAGTGCCACCAGAGATGAATTATAAAATAACTTGTTCGAAATGAAGGACAAACACTAAAAGAATGTACACATTCATATACCAGCTGTCTTATTGTTGCAGGCTGGGGGGAACCTATTGAACCAAGAACTGAAGAAAAGAACAAATGTTCTTTTGTATTTAACTAATGTAGCGATAACATCCAGTGATGAGGGCCTTCCGTGTTGATAGTTTATGGGCTAAATGAATGTGGTTTTCTCCTCAATCACACACTTACACCTAATTTTTCTACTTCCACACCTGCCCAAAAACATACATAAGTTAGAACAGGACACTGGGGAGAAAAAAAAATGGACAGCCCTCACCGACAATGTGCAAAGGCACAGTCAGGAAGCACTCTCCTGTCCACATCTAGATCAAGTAAGATTCTAAGGAAAGAAGCTCAGAGTTAACCTGCCCCTTGAGAAAGACCAATGAGCTGGGATATGATTATGTATTCCTTTATAATTAGTTTTCATAAATATACAATGCAGCTATTTTAATACCAAGAACTACTTAGCAATTCTACATTACTTAAACATGAAGCTTGCACACCCTCTTCAAACATTGTATCACGTATTAGAAATTAATTCAATACCTATTCTTACTATGTATAACCTGAAGAGATGGAATGATACACTTGAAATACCACCAAGGGTATCAGAATAAGAATCATAAGCACCTAACTAGAAGATGACGCTCCAGTTCAACACATTAATCCAAACATAAAATGGAATCTTAGGTTTTCATGCTTCTGTATTCCTACAAGATAAATTCCTAACTACCAAAATTTCACAATATCTTCTAGGTCATATAGACAAGAAATTGAGAGCTAGAATTAATCTCAATAGCATGCAACACACTTATGGAGAGAACACATTTTTAACTAAGGCCTGACAATCTGCACTAGGTTTCTAGGTTTCCAGAAAGTCACAGTAACAATTTTCCCATCTTGGCTTTCAAGCATACAGAAAAGAATTTACAACAGCATATTTATTTTTATCCACAGTGTTTACTTCTGCTGTAATGCAAATAAACTCTACATATCTAGTAATAATAATGCAAAGAGGATGAAAGTGACAAAGTAAGAGTAAGTTTATGTTCAATACAGTCATATTACAAGTATATTCACCATCAACATTAAAGTGCAACTAATACTGGAAAAAAATCAAAACCCAACTTAGAAGCCTAACTTTCTTCTCAGTACTCAAGTAACCACAAACTTGTGATATCACTCACCAAGCCATATTGTTTATGCTAACACACCCAGCATCATCAGATATCTGATGATAGATAACCTGTAGCCATCAAAATTAAAGCCCTATCAGACTCAGGAGCGTTAAATCTGTGGATTTCTGGCCTTCAAAGACTCCTGTATGAGAAAGAAATGTAATGCTTTTCCTCCCTGCTAACATGAAAGAGTCAGCATTGCCAAGGATAGGTGATAATGCCTCCTCCTAGGCAGCACCTACAGCCAAAATACAGAAGCACTGCCTGTTAAGTCCACTCCAATGTTATGCATCAAATGTACAAGATTAGGGCCATCAAGTTCTGTCAGCAAGACAGAATATTCTACTTAAAGGATGAAAAGCCAGAATGATCAAGCAGGAAGAGGTGTGTTAGGGAATGTCTGACAGCTCTGGATTTTCTCAAGGTCTTCCACAGCGATACAGAGATTTGGTCAACCACCACATTGGTAAAATACAACTGAATTTCAGTCTTTTTTTTTTTTCACTATGCCCATTCATCATCAGACCAGAACAATTTCTTAAAAAGGAAGAGTCTTAAGAAACAAGTCATTAAGAAAGACACGAAATTAGTCTTGCAGAATTAAATGACTTATGATATGACCTAAGATATGGAAGTCTTAGTAGCAGGATATTTTGTTGGCAGCATTTCTCATTTCAGGAAGTATTCAGTCAAGCATGGCTAAAACAAGCAGTGTCCCCACTGGATTCAGCAGCCAATAAAATGCTATTAATTTCAGCCTAATGTCCACTAAAAGCAATTAATTTCAGAATACATAATTGCAACAGAAGTTTTCAATGACAAATAGAGCAACACGGTTTTGCACCATGCTAAAGCAGCAAAATAACTGCTAATAACCAGTTATTTGGCATTGGGCAAGAATAGAAAGCAGAGCATAGCAGTACAAGGAAAACATGAGAATTAAATCTATCACCCCTTATGCAAGTAGTTTTAAATTTATCAAGCCTCTAGAAAAAAAAAAATCTCAAAAGATACTGGAAGGAAAATCTACTCCGTCCATCTTAAGTCCGCTTCCATTTAGAAAATATTAAATGCAGGAGGCTATGTTTTCCAAGCTAGTATTTGTTTTATTCTAATTGAAGCTTCATCTTAAGGCCTACAGCCAATAGGAAAAACTTATTAGCTCTATGTGAGATGGACAAAACCTTCATGATAGATATCAGTTGATTTAATTTAAAAAAAAATGGCAGCTAAACATTTCTGCACAGCTGGTCACTGGCAAGTTACAGAGATTGAGCAGGAAGAAGTACTTTATTGTGCAGACTAACAGGGAAAAAGATAAACAGGACGGTTTAACTGGACAACATGGTTTCACATTAAGGAATAAATCTACTTTGCTTATGTAAATTTCACTTAAATATTAGAGAAGAGTTGGTACAGAGGTGGCTGACAGCATTAACTTTAGGCAAAGTAGACCATCTATTTTATTGCCTTACATAAGGTTTGGTTGCAAAGACCACTAAAGTCAACTAACTCTTCATTTACTTGAATTGTCTTTGAATTTGACCCAGAATTTAAACAGCATGACTACTTGCTATGTAAGCACAAGGTCTAAAAAAATTCCAGTTTACAGATAAGATTTCCCAAGTTGAAGTTGAACCAAATAGTTCAATAGTTGACAAAATAAATTACTCTGCACATTGTATCTCATTTGTTGGAGAAAATATTCTCACTCTTACCTGCACATTTTCTTCTGTAACTTGAATTTCAGCAGTGTAAATATAATCAATGAGCATCCTTAGAGTCCAGCCATCAACTTCCTTTATTCGAACTTTTTTTGCTCGGCTTTCACTCATCTCACCTACAAACACAGTTTATTAGTCAAGTAAATAATACAGAAATACAGCCCAAATACAGAAGTTTAACAGCAGCAGAAATTTTATGTATGAGCAGTTGTGACAGTAGAATAACTTCAACACCAATAATTTAATTTTTCTTTCCTTCCTTCCTCCAGTGAGGAAGGAAGATTTTGTTGTCATCATGCAAATGCTACCTGGGTTAATACTTTTAGTGTAGGTGACCTATTTTTTCCAGTGCACAATATCAGAAAAATATTGTTTTCAGATCTAAATATGACACTTCAAATGCATACAGAAACAGTTTGCTGGGAAAGCAAGATATTAAAATACTCTAGCTTTATTAACTTCTTAATTGAAGGAGCATATCAAACACAATCTGGAGTAAATTTATTTAAATAAGAAGTTATATCCCCACAGAAGAATTAACATACATATTTCTTTGCTTGCCTACTTATTATTCCCTTAGCGATTTCACCTCTTTTGCAGCTCCAATTTAACAGCTCAAGCTAAGATAAAATGGTAAGCAAGGGAAAACTTGTTGGATCTCATTTTGTGGAGGCTGACATGTTGGCCATATGCCACAACTGATCTTCAAAGAAAGGCCTGCAAAATATCTTCCACCTTCCAAAATATGATGTTTCTCAAAGTGCAATATTTTCTTTATGGCTGAAATAATTATCCAAGTATATATTTTGAAGTAATGACTATAGCCTTCTTAATGATTCCAGATCAGGTCATCTCAGACCTTTAAACCCTCTTGCACTGACTTCCACTGAGAAACAAAACACGAACTACAAAAGTGATGTTGGAAGATATATAAAAGTTCACTTTGGAAGAGTATATCCCAATCTCTGAATACATTAGTTTCTTATTCTTCTATGTTGGATATAATTTCTTTCCCTTAAGCATAGACATCTAGAGATAAGGGCATTGGTGATATAATAAATTTAATGTATACAACAAGAAAAGCCGACAGGATGGAGAAGTGAACAAGAACATGCTAACCATTGCTGATATTTTCTTATGAATTCATACACATTTTCATTGTTTGTTCTTTCATTGTTCTTGTCTCTAGGGTTAGGGTCAAACAATGCATTTAACCCAGTGGTTTCAATAAAGGGATCATCACTGACGAATCTGTTACCACTGTTCATGGTACCATACCTTTTTTTGAGCTGAAGGGTAAAGAATGTCATCGCAAATCAACCCTTTAAGTGGCAGGAAGTTCAAAAGACATAAAAACCAGCAAAATCCAGCTCCCACAGAACTTTCTCCTTTCACCTGCACTTCTGAAACATTCCCCTACACCTTTGAAGGGTGGCTGCAGAACGTTCCCTGCAGGGCCCTGTATTCCAAGTTTCTACTTCTAGTTTGACACAGATTAAACCTATTGATCTTCAGAGCATGTAAACTGTTACTTATTTATTATGCAAGCTGCTGTGGAGGTGGTCCTCTGGGAAAATTGTGTGTGTGGGAGAGCAGATTTTGATATTCTGCAAGCATATTAGATTTGTTTTCAGATTTTGTGTCAAGGCTTTTAGAGTCATGGATAGGCACCTTCTCTGTTTAAAAACCAAGCCCAGAATATACAAATAAAAAACCCTGAACAAGAAAATAAAAACCAAAAAAACACCCAACACCCAAACAACAACAAAACACTCAACCAAAATAACCCCAAAAAATACTTGCTCCCAACTTTCATGTGAACCAGACACACAATCTTACTACAATTCTAGATCAACCCATATCTGTTTGATAGATCATATAGAGCAAATCAGATGCACTCAGCAGGCAGTCTCAGTCTAGAATTCAACCTGCTGAAGAACTCAGTTTATGACTGGGAAGCAGCACCACCATGTCTCCACAGAGTTCATAGTGACAGGAAAGCATATCATGAACAGAAAGCACTGAGCTGATCCAACCTCTCAAGCAGCAGCAGCAAAGCACCAGCTGAGTTGAAGATACTAAGGGGCTACAAAGATACAAAGGGGCTACCTAAAAAGCTTACATGGCTCCTCACAAAGTAATGCAAAGAAGGCCTTTTTTTTTTTCCCCCCCCAAGAATTTTACAAATGGAGAATGGAAGTGAAGAGAGCAGGTAAATCCCTAAGGATTACTGCCATCATAGAAAAGAAAATTAAAGCCACCCTTATCTGAAGTCAGGCCCTAGAACCACTGAAGAGTCCCTTCTTTGATGCTTTATAATCACTTCCTCTAAACATTTAAGTAGATTCAAATAATATTTCTAAATAATTCCACTGTGTAAGACAAAAGAAATATTCCTATTAACACAGATTAAATAGCAGGGACTTTCTTCCCCCACCATCTCCTCATTGGATAATTGTTACTAACTTACTATATTCTGTAACTTTAAAAGACAGTAACTTTTTCTTTCCTGATAATTATTAGGGCTACCATTACAAGTACAAATGAAGGAAAAAAAAAAAAATAGGCCTCTGTTTGAACCTAGTTAATGCCATATCCCAGGCTGCACTGCAGTAATATTTAATGACTCAGAGAATGATGGAATCAACCTGCAAACACATGTCTAAACAGAAACTTCTAATTTCTAATCAAAAAGTAACCGTAAAGCATAAGAGTGCAAGTTTTTCACTGTCTTTCCAGTCCCTGTTTTATTCTGGATGGAAGAAGATACTTCTCCCTTTGGTTGTGGCTGATTAAGGAATGCAATTTGCTTATTTGAACTTGCAGATTACTGGATGAGAATAAAAATCCACCTAAGAAGTGTGGATTCCAGGCTTCATGGAGAGAACAATCACAATGACATTGGGGAATTTTTGTGTGGGGAATGGCTGAAATGCACCAATACCACAGCTGGGCCGTGCTGTAAGCAACCTATAAGCCTAGTATAAAACCTGCTGCTAACTCTTAAAGCCACAGCTGAATTCTATTTAAGCTCCCACCTATTTGGCTCACCAACTACACAAACCTCACTACAGATATATTAGTTGAACACTTCACACCCATTACTCAAGTGAGTGTTCCCACCTCCTGCAGCACTGGGGCTAAAGAACGCCTACATTTAAAAACATAAAACAAGTAAAAAATTTTAAAAGGGAAGAGAAGATTTCAGTCATTCCATCTGGAGAGCAGCTACAGACACTGCTGCACTGGCACTCTGAATGGGTAATAAACTTCTTCACAGAGAGGGCAGTCAGGGCAAGCAGAAATGTCTTAATCACAGAAGACATAATAAAAAGCTACACACTGAGCAAAGAGTATTTGCCATGTGATAGTCAACAACAGTTAGTCTTTAATACAAAACTAACACAAGAGGCTCTGCTACTAAGGTGATAAAAAGGAACTGTAGAAGCAGCTTTTTTTATTCTAATTTTATAGGCAGGAGTAAAAATGAAGAAAGAACTTATCAGTCACCCATAATGTTTGCCTCAACCACAAATGCAAACTTAAAGAACTGCTGAGGAAGAGATATTTAATTTTATAAGCAACTTTAAAGCATTCTTGCAGAAGTTACTCCACTTCTGGCCTTGAATATGTCAAAATACTTGCCTAAAAAATCCAGAACGATCGGCTGCTTCCCTGGAACACAACAGTATTTGAAATTTCATCCATCTTGTTGCATACAATTAAAATTATTAAAACACCAATCTGTTTGCATATGGGCTGGCCAAGAGTCACATTCCTACTTCCATCTGAGCTGGTGGTCAGAAGCAATGGATTACAGAGAAGTCTTAATTTCAGGCAGTTGACATTAACTACAAAGCTGGCACAAGATTTGAGGATGAACAGACAAAACCTCAGAAGTTAATTTTAACATGCATTTCGTAGCATTCTTACTTTGGCACTGAATTTCACATTATTTCAATGTGATTTATAACTATGACGGAATTAAACCCACAGCACAGGAATTTCAGCTGGAGGCTCCTATCCTAGACCTGAGCCTATCTTAGCCTTGCAAGCCCTCAGCATTCCTGCTCCAGAAGTAAAGCAGGAACTTGGCCAGCATGGAGCAAGCAGAAGTCAAATCAAGGCTGTACAGAAAAGTAGTGGCAATGATGCAGAGTACATATGTCATGGAGGATTACCCTAAAAATATTGAAACATGCACTCCAGCTACAGGCTGCCAAAGCCACAGAAAGCTTTCATATCTACTAACAGCCTAGAGCGCTCATGGGCTGAAGAATGTAGGAGCAGTAGTTGTTAAAGGACATAATTTACTCAAAAATTCACATTGTTATTTTCACCTTCCTTTGGACAAGTGAGATTACTAGAGGCTTAAAGTGTATAACAACTTAACTATCACTGGCTTACTTAACATCTAATTTGTTTTTTAATTAAGGAGACTTTTTAAAGCATTCATCATGCTAACAAAGGCTACGTTGACACTATGTCCTTAGACTGCAAAAAAAAAATCATTAAGAATCCCAAATGTTCCTATTGTATTATCTAAAAATCAAATCAGATCCTAAAAAGCAAAAGTCATGAAATTTTATTCTTTATACAGTTAGACTGGATTATAACACAGTAAGTATTGAAACATTTGGTACCTGTAAACATGGCATGGAAGTAGGGGCTGCAGGCGGCTAACACAACTCTATGCGCTGCAATTTCCATGTCTTCAGCTACTATCGTCACATCACACAGCAAGTTTTGACTATTTAGAAATATCAGAGAAGGCAATTTCACATAAGTGAACTACAACAGAAAAGTATATATGATATCACACACAATTTCTTTTCCCATGCCCTCAGAAGAGGCAGGCAATGTAGATGAACCATTGTTTTTAATGTGTTACACAACCACACGGCTGTTACTCAATCAGATTACGGATGGAGCTTGGGTACACAAAACTATTTAAAAATCAAACAACTGAATTGTGATTCATTGCACAGAAGTTTTCTTCACTGAATAACCATAATTTGTATCAGCCCAATTTATAAACATTCTCTCTGGAAGTCTGGGCCCCTTTGAACAACTATGATAGAAAAAACAGAATTTAATATATACAAGCACTAAAAAAAAAAAAAAACATAAGAAACAAGGCTTTACAGACAACAAAGAATCCAAACTTCAACTGAGATGCATGTGTCACATTACACTGGAAACTTATGCCTACTTAATTGTACAAATCTACTACTCAGTCTTCTCTATATTCACTGTTTTCCAAGCATTTTTCATATTCATCCCATGCACACAATAGCAATTCTTTTTTCCAGTCTGAACAGTTTAGAATTTATTACGGTTTACTTCATATCTTGACTGACTTTGTACCTTCATTACATGCATTTGCATTCTTGTCCTTAGTGACTGTAACATATTTCCTTCCTGCCCAGTTGCAATAAAGTAACATCTCATTTATAACCATTCCTAACACAGGTATTTCTAACACAGTTTACATCTATTGGCTGTACCTCTTCCACTTAAACTCCTAACATGTATACTCCTTATAATCCAATTTTCTAGACTGGATAAGGAGAAGGGGAAAAAAAGAAGAAAACACACCACAACACGGAAAGGCTGCAACTTCACAGCATCTAACTAAGGGTTACAGTCACCTCTTATTCAGGCTAGCACTGTCCCTGTGGAGGTAGTATGGAATCCACAAAACTCAGACCCACAGCAACAGAGGGAAGAGGGAAAAGTATGACTTAACAGAACATATTCCTTAGGGATGGAGCTAGAGCTGCACACCAGTCTAGTGATTTCTATTCTCAGTACCTTCAAAAAGAGACATTTTTACCATTCCTGAATACTAATAAAGATTTTTAGATAGTTTGCAACTACCACACTAAGTTGTAGCAAAGCCAGGTGAGCAGTTGCATTTTTGCTTGGACAGAACTAGAGCTCTCAGCCAAACAGCTCAGATATCCACCTCAGTCCAAAAGAAAACTCTGTGATCTCTCAGTTCTGCAATTATCCAACTTTGATGAGCCCAGACTCAAGTAACGTGGCTTTGTGGAGGTCACACATCAAAAATTTTGGTGGTCACAACTAACCTTTGGGGCCATATTGCAATCCTGGCAATTATCTTTCTGACTTCACATTACCTTTGTGCTTTCAACTCTTAAGACCTATAGCAACTATGTAAATCTCATAAATTTACCTTGCAATATAGTTCTTATCAAATTGTACATAATATGTACAATGTAATGACTGTACCAGACGAAACACACAATTCAGAGGATCTTGAAACAATCATTAAATTTATTATTAAAAAAAATGGAAACAGAAAGCTACACATAAAAGGGTATTAGATGGGTATCTGATGGATAGCTTTATTGGACACCTGCACTTACCCTGACAACAGGAACAAGACGTTTTATACTTAATTGCACAGAAAGATAAAAACTAAGATAATACTAAAGATAACAATGAAGCCAGAAACAACAGAATTACATCAATGCACAACTAGGGTTACTAATTACATTGCATATACATAGACAAAGTAACACCTCTAGTCTGGAACTGCATCAGGTGAATGAGTATGTTCTGCATTACTACAGAGCTGACAAGCTAAAGAAACTACTGAAGAAACGACCTTAAAAACTTCATCTTGTACTCTGCTGCAAACATCTTGTGGCTTCCTCAGCACCTTCATTTCATGAGAGCACATCAATTTATTTTAGAAAAGGTTGTGTTCTGAAGTGTTAATGAACCAATTTGCTTATATAGAGTGACTGAATGAACAGAATTGTGGGGGATACACCATCATGGTACAGACAATGAGAAAAAGGGGGTTAAGCAAGTATGCATTTAAGAATAATTGAGCAGCTGTTTATCAGCTTGCAGACTATTCTTCATTGGCTCATACAGGGAAAGTTTTCGTTACCCCCATCTTCAAAACGTTTTGGTAAAGTCTTGTTTGTAAGAATGAGAATTTTGATAAATATAGGTAACATCAAATTCCTTTTTGATAAAAGCAAATTATAGTAAAGTGAAAAGATAGGCATCAGAGTGTAATTTTGTCACACGTCAAGAACTAATTAGTTTTCCTAATGAGCTTTCTACTCAGTGTTGAGGTGATGCTGAGCAATGAAATGACAAAAAATACAAAGGACAAAATTGCTAAAATTTGTCAAAATTTGAAGGCACATAAAAACTCATTAACAAGCTACTAGAGCCAGACAACCTGACAGTAGGCAAAAATTTAATATGCAACACAGACTTAAGCATTCAAAACCAAATGTATTTAGTTGCTTAAGCAAATTATTTTTTCACAAACTATTCACTTCCTGGAGAGTATAACTCTGGCAAATACCTGTTTGTGCTACATTAATGAAAAGCACTGAGATTCATTACATTTTTAAAGTTGTTTCTAAATCAAAAAAATAATTCATTGGATTAATATTAGATCTTTGTTTAGAGCAATAAAGTCTGAAACATTTTTAAGATTTTCTGTTTATTACTTCAAACAAATGAATGCAACTAGAAACATTTATAATTTTGTTTAATTACCACTTACCATCTTAAAAGCTGTACTCAGCTTTAATTGTAAATATTGTTGCTTTACCTTATTAAATGGCAACTAGTTAAGGTTATATGGCACAGCTCCTGTTCAAACTTTAAGTATTTATACATGCAAGGCAAAATTGCTCAAATTGCTTCTACAGCAATTTGAATTTAGGTAACCATGGAAACTAAAGTATATTCTGAAAATAATCCATGGGCTTTAAAAATGCACTCTGCTGGAAGACTGTGAATCTTTTACTTGAAACACAGCAAAATGCAGGTAAGGTTTCTGACTTCCAAAATTATTGTTAAGATTAATTCTGGGAAACTTCCTCCATGTAAAATCTTGCTCATCCTTAGGAAGTCATTGCTACTGGCTCTAGCCAGGCTCTGTTATGCTCCTTGAGACACTGCATCTGGTTACTGGGACACTTGAGAAAGCCAAGGGCATAAATTAGGTGAAGCAACAAGTGTCAGTCTATCCAGCACACAGTTTTAAAGATTTACCTATATGGAACAGCAAAGGCCAAAGGCAGAGGCATACTTTAAAAGGGTATCAGTTGCTGTGTTTCGTTCCCGTGAAGCCTCTCCAATTTTTAATTTTATATGGGAAATAACAAAGAAGTACAGGATTTTCACAGCCTCCAGTACTGTCTCTGCTAAAAAAGTATTTTTATTTATTTAATTTCTCCATTGTTGCTGTAAGTTATAGTACTAAATTACTATCAGTGATAGCTGTGAGTCCTGATTTCCAGAGCTCAGTTGTGATCTCTAATTACCAGCTGTCACAGTTTTCAACATCACTTCACCTACTCATACGTAAAATATAAATCAATATGGATGCTAAGAACATCACCAGCATCAGCCTCCCAGTTTCACTGAAACTGATGGTATTATCCCTCAAAGTCTTACAAAACTCTGTTGAGAAAAGTTACTTTCAACATTTGATCAATTTCTCCCAGAGGGCAAGCGAATGATAACAAAGAAAATGTGCAGTCAGTTGGTTTATACTGTGACCTATGTCTCTAGAATAGAAAATTTTAACATTTTTCTGGTTCACAGCATAACATGAAAATCAACAACAGGCACACAAAGAGCCTAAGGCTCAACCAGAGTCACTTTTTGTCTATCCAGCATCAACTACATACAAGAGAGGATTTGTAGCTGTGACTCCTTAAGTACAATCTGTAAGTATTTTTCAAGCCTCATAAAACTAGTTCCAAGTTATGAGGTGCAAAAAAAAATACTGCATACATTACAGCTCTCATCACATGGCTATCATTCAGTTATCACTTCATTGTATATTTAATCTCTCTCCTCAGCTATACTTCTGACATTGCATGTTCTTAATAAACAAGCTATTATTATTAACTTAAGAAATGCAAATGAAAGCAGAAATGCACTCTGGACTCCAGGCAGGTGTATACAGTGTATACATACCTTCTTAATTCATTCATAACTTTAAAAGCTTTCTTCATGTGCCATGGATTTACTGTAATAGGACAGTGAATTTCGGTGTTATCATCTTTCAGATCCAACGGCTTCTGATGACAAAGTTTGGTACATCTGGAAAGAAAGAGGCAAAAAATAAAGTTAATACTTCTGTTGAATCTCCAGTGCTGTCACTTCTTTCTTCGTCCACCTTCATCTTGGGGAGAAGATTTGTACTTCAAACTTCTTCTTTACTCCAAGCAATTTTAGTTTCCCTATTACCAAAGGTGCAGAGGAATAGGTACAATTCCTGTGGAAGTAGTAAGTTGGTGAGTAATACTAGTGACATTGTCAGAGGCTAACAATAATCTGCACTAAAAAAACACGATGATGTTTTCTGGTTTTGTGAATATTATTTTATTTAGTGGAGAAATAGTCTAGGATATTTCCAATAGGCTCTGAAGTGAGGGCAGAATTAGAGTTTTGGGAACTTTTCACCTAGTGCCCGTACAGATCAGTGGCAGAATGCAGCAACCATCACCCCAGTCTCTTAATGCCTTCACTGCCTGTCAGGTAAAAGCTCCTCTCTGCCCTTCTACGAGGACCTCAGTTACTGTTTCATACAGCTCCTAGCTCTCCTCTGACAGGAAGACCACACAATGACTACTGCAATTATCCAGGCTTTCCCTAGCCACAGCACAAGAAGTGGGTGACAGAAAAATTGTGTACTTTTGTAGATTCACTCAGTGTTTTGAAAACCATAATGTACATAAGTGACCAGCCTTTTAATTTTTGTTACTCTCACAACCCCACTCCAAAAAGCAAGAGAAGAACTAGGCAGTGTGAAAAATCATTACCTCTAGCTACAATTAATTCTTTCTGTAAGACATACCCAAGTTATACAGACACTAAATTCTGTAGAAGAATTATTATATACACTCCTCAGTCACTTGGACTGTCCAAACAGCAAGCGGACTTTTCATGCCAAACCAAATCAATGAGTTTCCTGTTTACAGTCACAACGTTGCTCTTACAAAGCAAACTGTGTTGCTGTAGCACTTAGAAAACGCTTAGCGTCAGTGATGCTTTATTCTACAGTATTGTAACTGTATTCCTGAACCTCTAAGCTGGAAATAAGCAAAGGCACTGAGAAGTCATTTGGTGGGGCCACAAACCCTGGTACATCAACCATCTGATTGCAAATGAAAATTCAACCTTACCAGCATTAGGTAAGCACAGTCAAACTGAACATATTCAGTGACTCACGTAATTGCAACCTCCCTTCTACTATACCAGAAAATTTTTAATTGGCCATGTCTGAACTTAAAAGAAAAAGCCAACAATAATTTAAGATTTTAACCTAGAACTCTAAGTTCTGTGCACTACAATAGTGCAAAGCCAAGCAATCAGCTCTATTTTTTGTTATCCCTACACTAGCTAGAAAATTTTGGAGCAAAGCAATACAAAATTGAATCAAGCAACAAAGGAATGTAAAAAGTTTCCATAAAACTAACCAAGTAACATCCATCCACAGAACTCTAACTGCAACCAACTTACTAGAGCGTACCATGAAACTGACATGAATTAGAAGTTTCATGTCCATTTTTGAAAATTCTACAATTAATTAATGAAAAAGGACAAATAACAGACAGGAATTCTGCATCAATTAAAAAAACCCAAAAAAAGTTACATGCTATTCACCACATAAATATGTTACTTCATAGAGGGAAAAAAAAGGACATTCTATCTAGCAAACTCCTTTAGACTGAAGGTTACTTTTCTATATTATGTGACATACGTTGTGATTAGAATTCCAAAAAATTATAGACAGAAATCAATGACTGCAGAAAACATTCAAAACACCAAAGACCTATAACCAAGAGACCCAGCTTTTAATTATACCACTGACCTATCAAATCCAAGATAGAACACTTTCACTGCAACTTTCTACAACCCAAAGCTATCTACATCAGATACTGAAGTCTATTTATCTGCATACATTTACAGGCTGTGTATGCATCAAATACAGCTATGCAAGGGAAAAAAAAAAAAAGTAATCCAGGAAAACAAAGTCATCCAGTGATCCAAGGAAAAAACAAAGTTGTCTGTAAAGAGCTGCCAAGCAACCTGGATTAGATGGATGAGCTCACATGAAGCGTAATTTAATTTGCTGAAGTTTCATTTGTTTGTCACAAAGGGTGACTTTGTTTTAAGGTAATGAACCCTACAAAACCATCAGTCATATGCCTTCGGTTTTGGGAATTGCCAGTCTGCCTGAAGTACTGGGGTCTCTCTTACCATTTCACCAGCTGGGCCAGAGCTGTCTGCAACTGGTTTCCTTCAGTTTGTACTCAAGAACCTCATGCAGAGCACACCTTTAATCTACCTACCGAAGGCACAGGATGAAGTAGCACTGAAGCGGAGCCTGTGAAAGGACTGAGGAGGCCAGCTGAGGTGCAGCTGGAGATGGTTGCCTGGGCACTGCCACTAAAAAAGATGCTTAACTAAATAACCAGAAAACCGGGAGTGATATAAGCACGACTGCTGAGTCAAACAAGGAGTAATTTGGGACCACATATGGAGGAAGCAGAAGGAGTGAGGGGGAGGAGGGAGAAAAAGCCCGCCTGTCCCCACAAGCTGGAAGGCACACGGGAAGGCGGCGGGCGGGGGTGCCGGCAGCGCTGCCCGCCCGCGAGAGCCCCGCGCCCGCTCCCCCCGCCGCACGCCCCAGCCCACGGACTGCACAGCGCTCCGCTCCGCACCGCCGTCCCGGCGGGCTCCGGGCGCCCGGCTGCCACCCCGCCCGCCTCGCCGCCGCCGCCACACTCACACGGGCGGCAGCAGCATCTCCATCGCGGCTCCGCTCGGGCTTCCTCCGTGCAACGCGGGCTCGGCGAGCTGCCGCCAGCACCATGCCGGCTGCCCTGCCCCGCCGCTGGTGCGGGGAGCGGCTGCGCCCGCCCGGCCGAGCCCCGCCGCCGCCGGGAGCCGCCGGCGCTGCGGCTTCCGGGTGCCCGCCCGCGGGAGGGCGCGGCGGAGACGGGCCGCTCTGCGCAGGCGCGGCGGTGGGACCCGGCCCGGCCTGTGCGGTCCGTGCAGCGGTGGTGGCCGGAGCTCTGGTATCCGCGGGGGAGGGGGCTCCTCGCCGGAGTCTTCCGCTCTCGAGGTGGGACAGCTTCAGCCCAGGGGCTTTAGGAAGAGGAGGCTGAGACGCCGCTGCCCTTGCTGAAGGAAGCGTGGCCTCCGAGTGGGATGAGCCAGGGTCTAGCGCCCAAATGCGCGTCTCCCGCTTCCCAGGAAAGCGGTGGCTCAGGGCGGGCCGGAGAGCGGCACCCGGGGCTGCCCTACGCAGCGACACGTCCCGCGGAGCGCCCGGGTCAGCGTGCCCTCAGCGACAGCGAGAGTGGCTTGGGGCGCTCGCGTGGAGACACACAGGTGCTGTGTCCCACGGGGGGGGGGGGGGGGGGGGGGGGTAGAAAAAATGAAAGCAGTCCCCGGTCTCCTCAGTGAGAAAATCCACCAGCAGGTGCACGCCGTGAGGGACATGGGCAACTTCTTGGCAGTCCAGCCAAGGAGCTGGCCCGACAGCAGCTGCTGCAGGTGCCTTCTGCTCGAGCAGGGCCCGAAGGGAAGAGCAGAAGTGCGTCGGGACGGAGGAGTTGAAGAGGGTCTAGTTCCCTGTGACGTGCTGGATGTTGTCGTCTTTTATTTGATCAACTCCAGTAGGGACACTGCTGCTCAAAACAGCTGGCCTCCTGTGTTTTGCAAACATTGCTGACATTGATCATTAAGTACTTGAGTTTCGTTTCAGGGTTTGCTGAAGTAGCCTCTGTGTTGCAAAATGGCAAAAAGAAAAACGAACAGACATCTATTTCCAATGTGTCTTTGTAAACAACACTAATTCAAGCAGCGATCAAGAATACTACATTTAGCAACTTCTGACTTGGGGCACTAGAGAAGAATTTACTGTATTTAAACCTCTGTAAATTACTTCGAAATCTTTGAAGATTGTATAGTGGAAAATGGATTTAGCAGGCTGAACACAATTCAGGTATTTAAATCTGATTGTGTCTGTAAAATTAAAATGTTTCTTCACTGGACTAAAAGATTTTAAATTGGAATAGTATCTCCAAACGAATAAATCTACTAATAACTGACGAACACTATTTTTCTAAGAGTGAGAAGAGTTTGAGGGAGCATATTTCAAATAAGACACAAAACAAACTGGCAGGAATGTTTTGGGTGAAGACTTACTGTAGATGGATACTGAAAGCCTTCACCAGTGTTTCTAATAAAATCACTAGCTATTAAAACGAAATGTATTTTAATCTGTTATTTTCATTTTTGCTAATCTCCAATAACACTCCTCACTACGAAAATGCCATTTTCTTTTAGTTTTCTCAGTTTACCAATCCTCTTTCACTACAGTGATGATTTGGGAACACTTCAAAATTTTTTCAATGGGTTACCACTGGAGGTTTTTCTAAATTAAACAATCACAACTGGCAGTGTCTGTTTTTATGAAGTCTGTGCTTTGTAACTACTGAATTTTTCTCTTCTCAAGAGACAACTAGATTTGCCTCTGGGTTGTATTGGAGAAGACAAGGTAGTTGCTAAAGATTTAAATGCACAACAAAACCTGCTTGCAGGGAAGTCTGCTCCAAAGGAGCCAGCCAGAAATAATGCTCTCTGAAATGGAGGTTTAAAATTCAGCTGGCTCCACCTAGCATAGCATGTCCGAGGTCTGAGTTCATAAGCAGGTGAGGCCTGGGTAGATCCGAGAGTGGATGATGACTGTCACATCACACTTCCAGGTTTCTGCAATTCAGAGTAAACTCCTGGACACATCACTTTGTAAGACAAGGATCCCAGCTTCTACTGATCTGTAAGACCTAAGTGAATTCTACTGTGTTGTGTTTAAGGGTCCACTTGAGACCACTGTAAACTTGTGAGCTGGTCTGGAAGCTGAGGGGCTTTGTACACTCTTCACGTATAGATCCTACAAGTAGGTAGGTAGCTGCAGATTCTGCAGATTCTGCCCTGTGCTACTGTGGTTTTAACCCCAGCCAGCAGCCCCGCCCCAGGCAGCCACTCACTCACTCCCCCAGCAGTAGGATCAGGGACAAAATCAGAAGGATAAAAGGTAGAGAATTTTGGTTGAGATTAAGTTTAACAGGGAAAGCAGAGGCTGCACATGCAAGCAAAGCAAATCAAGGAATTAATTCACTGCTTCCCAGGGCAGGCAGGTGTTCCACCATCCAGGAGAGCAGGGCTTGGCTCATCCTCCAGAAAAGCAGGCCCCCATCACATGTAAGGGTTACTTGGGAAAACAAACACCATCATTCCAAATATCCTCCCCTTCTTCCTTCTTCTCCTCACTTTATATGCTGAGCATGATGTCACATGGTGTGGGAATGTCCCTTTGGTCAGCTGGGGTCACCTGTCCTGGCTGTGTCTCCTCCCAGCCTCCCAAGAACACCCAGTCTCCTCCCCAGTGTGGCAGTACAAAAAGCAGAAACAGCCTTGGCTCTGTGTAAGCCCTGCTCAGCAATAATGAGAACATCTCTGTGTTATCAACTCTGTTCAGCACAAATCCAAAACACAGCCCCATGCCAGCCACTGGGAAGAAAATTAACTCTACCCCAGCCAAAACCAGTACAAACATTTATTCTTAACATTAAACATTTCCAACCTGTGACTTCTCTCATTTTCTTGCAGTGTTCTTTTGGCTTCAGAGCCGAATGTTCAACATCAGTTCAGTTAATTTCTGTGATGCAGAGCATCAGAAAGAAACAAATAGGGCAAGGTTCAATTTTTTTTTTCCTGAAAATTATATCTTTGTAGTTCAGTAATTTCAAGAGGAATCAAAGCAAAAACTACTTTGTCCAAAATACATTATGTGGTTATGACAAAACAACTTGTATCTCTCACCATGAGAAGACACGTCCTTTAAAAACAGTGCCTAGATTTTTATGGGATTCTGCTTGATCCAATACCTCTTAGAAAAGAACTTTCAGAGAAAAAACTTATTTATATATGTCTGTGGGTGTATGTATGTAGTTTTGAAAGGAAATGGGCTATGTATCTTATCTATGATGAAATAGCTGTCATTTTTGTTTATGCTGCAGCAATTCAAATTACTGCATTTACTGAGAAAATTCCTTGTCATGTTTCAGGCTCTCCCTGTAATAATTCTCAGCACTTTTCCACTTGTTTTAGTGAGTTACAAAGGAATGTAGCCAATGCTTACCTAGGATCACATGGTTCTTCAGATCTATTGACACTAGAAATACTTTATTCATACAGAAACCCCAATACTGTCCATCAGTGAATTGCATCCAGTGAAAATGAAGTCATGCTAGCAGAGCTCTGCTTGCTAACAAGATAGTCCCACAAGTTACATGGTCCTACAAACAGAATAACTAATCCTGGTAAAAGTCAATGTGACTGCATACATACATGGTGGTTTATTAGCACATTTAAGGGATCATGCTGTATGCTGATGTGATCATGTTAGAAGAAATCTGGTTTAGGTTTAGCCACAGAGGACACTGATATAAGTCCTTAGTTATTTTTAATTGACAAATGTAGGTTAGGAAGACATCTCCAAAAAAGGACAAAATATAAGGTGGTAAGAACATTTGCTCTTGTTTAAGATTTTAGAAGTCATAACTTGGGAAGGATTTGGGTAGAATGCTTATGAGGACATGCTGCTGAGGCTGGGATTGTTTTTGTGAAGAGGGGAGAGGAAAGGGCTCTAGAATGGAATACTTAAGTACCTCTCAGTACTCCTATTGCCTCAAACAGAAAAACAATGTGCTTCTTCACTTTGTTAGCTTTTAGATTAACCATTATATTTGTATCCTACTGAATTGACTTGAGAGTAAATTATGTACAAAAATCTATGTAAAGGTAAGTATGCATGTATCCAAAATATGTGAGGGCACATATGCATTTTTTTTTTCCATCAATGACACAACCATCTAGCAGCAGACCTTTATGCAACACAGGCCCCTGTATCTAAACAAATCCATGAGGACCTTTGTGGAATTCACGGCAGGACTTGAATTCAACACAGACACTAGCTACTACTACATTCTTTGGTCTAAGAGACCAGCACTAATATCAGCATTAATCCAGCACTGCCTAATCTTAAAAGGCCTCACTCTAGTGGAAGAGACTCCTTTTTCTTGCTTGAGAAGCATGGAATATTTAAATGGTTCTTCAGAGAACCATTGAGCTAAGGACATCAATGCAGTTGAGAAGAATTACACTGGAAAGTAACGTGAAAAGGAAATGCAGGAAAGTGCATGCAGAAGACTGAGAAAGGGACCAGATTGCAGAGGAATATGTACTGGAGAGTAGGCAGAGGGAGAAAAAATAAAACATGTAAATTGGGATTGTGAAATAAGGAATAGCAAAGCAGCTGCTATCAAAGAGAAATTGTACTGTGACCAAAATCAGTTAAATACAATTAAGCATGGATTAAAATATTTAGTCTTTTCTAGCATTATTTTCCTGTGTGAACAATTACTGAAGCACTAAGAAAGACACATACTTAATGAAAATAGGTGAAGGGATAAGATTTATTCTGTAAAATTCATGGTCCTTATAATGATGATGATGATGATGAAAATTAGTAACTATGAACTGTTTTTTCAGTGCTCAAAACCAGATATAGTGTAATTCTTAAAAGAACTTGATAGGACACATAATCTAGTAAACAGACTTTAGGTACTCTAATCCTATTTCTGGAAAATAAGGCCACATAAAAAGCAAATGGTATGACACTTTTTTAATTCTACTTGATGGAGCAGCCAGGTCCCTGTGGTCAGTGCTGTGTTCCTTCTAGATTACAGCTTCCAAAAGGAAGTCCTAGCTGAAATAAGAATTACAAATGGAAGCAAATGTAGGTCATAGCCATGATTCATATTTGTACTGCAAGCTACAAAGATGCCAAGCAGATATCTTGTTGAGTAGATCTAAGGCCCAATGATGTAA